TAACTGATTACAGCAGTTTACAGTTACCATAGGTGAACTTTTGACATTCTATTGTCTTTGTTGACTGCTCTCTTTGCTCCTTTTACTCTTTATTTATTATTGTTATATTGAAAATGATGAAGCAACTGCAAGGTGTTATTGTCTGCTTGGCTTATCTATCAGATAACATGAGGTAGATCATTAAAGAAATAAACATCACATAAAACGTTGTCCAATTCTCATAAACAAATTTTAAGCACTGTACAATCATAACTCAAAAGCTTACGACAAAAGCCTTTCTTTGCAAAGTTATAGAATTTATAAGAAGAGCCCTAAATTGTTCATTGTCAGCTCAAAGCTACAGAAATAAGAAGAAAAAAATTAATTTAGGGCTCTTCTTATGAATTCTATAACTTTGCAAAGAACGGTCGTGTAGAGCTGGGGGATGTTTCATTTTAATCAGAAATTTGCGGGCTACAATTCTGCATTATTAAAAAAGGCTTGGGTTGTTTTTTGGGGTTCTTGAAAAACTGGTTTTCCAGAAGACTGGATCTTCGAAGAGCTATGTCCCATGATCATATTCAGAATCAGCATGGTCGATAACCTATAACCCACTAGATGTCGATCAAAAAGCGATTTATCACCTCGGGAGGTTCCCTCGTTAGTGTAAAACTCTTGCCTATATACATAAATTGTGATCTAGTCAAATATTATTTTTAGAAAAATAGCTAAAGTAAAATTGCATTGTTTGTTCGAAAATAAAGTCTGAAACTTTATCTGTCAATGTAACCTTTCTATTTAATGACGTCATGAAATTAAAAACTTTTAATTGACATTTATTTAATTAATTATTATTCTACGACTATTTATTGAGCTTCTTTATTGCACATTGTTTTATTTTATCCCGCTATAAACATAACCAAATTCATTACCCATGCTAAATGAATGTCAATTAAAAGCCACAGTTACTTTAAAAACAAAAATTTCTACCCATTAACATCTTTAGAAAGTAAATACCAGTGTCATAAAGACATGAAAATAAATGTTTGTAATAGAGACTCTTGCTTTTTCCTTTTATTCCTTCACTTCTTTATTCATTGTATCAATTCCTATTTTGTTTTATTTTTTAGTTTTCCAACTCTGTCACAAATCTCATGGCTAGTTCTCAGTCTAATCTTTCAACTCAGCATCGGTCATCTTACACATCACAAACAAACATGTCAATCAGAGTATGTATGAACACTAAAAGTATACGAGTTGATAAACTGAAAAAAACGTTTATATCGCATTCCCGTTTTATAACAATTTTAACCGTTTTGTTTGTTTTTCTCTATTTTGTAGAGAGTTGATTCACCAATTTTATCCAATTCAACCACACTTTCATCACCATCGACTAAAACATCTTTATGTTCAAATCCTAGTGTAGGTCAGGCAAGAATTATATCATCATCAGGGAGTGGAGCATCTGCTCAATATGTTCTTCAAACAACAAATTCTGGAAATAACGAATCTCAAGGTGCGGGTCGTGTAATTATCGCTACTGCTCATGCTCCATCGTCACAATCCTCAACAACTACAACGACAACGGCAACACACAATACCAATAGTCAGGGTCAAGCACCATATGTAGCAGAAAATCGTGGACAGTTTACTCAACAAAATCAGAATTCAAATACAACAGATGGAACACCCGTGTGAGTTGAATGTAACTAGATAATCAATATATGAGAAAGAGTCTTAATATTTTAGTTTGATTATTTTTCTGTATTGATTGAAGTAGATAGTGAAGAAACAAAGAATTGAGTTACTTTCATAAATCTTGAAATATAGAAGTTAATGTTAAAGGCTCTTTCGACACATTATACTTCTAATTCAGCTTTTTGAAACGACTATGACTAATGTTACTTTCTCTTATTTTCGTTTTAGTCAGTTTCGATTCAATAATAATGATGGCACGTTATACTCAGGAACAAATTCATTTTTTCAATCACAACAAAATGTACGTTCAACCCTATTTTAATTTACTAGGATAAGTAGTATCTTAAGATCCCATTTAGCAACAATCCAATTCTCCCCCAAATTTTCATTTGGTGGAACCATGTT